CCTGTTCTAATGGGAGCTCACCAAATCCAGCTGGACCGGTACTGAATGAGCTTGCGATCAAACCGGATTCTCTGAATGTGGCTGAAAATGGGAGATGACTGAGAAGCCATTGATAAAGACACTGGGACTTGTTTCTACTGCATGTACTGGCTTTTTGGGACCCTAGTCTATTTGGATGCAAAGCTTCCTAGGCCTGGATGTAGTGGGGAGGGTCTTGGACTTCCCACAGGGCAGGGTTCCCTGCCCTTTCTTAAGGAGGGAGGGGGAGGGAGGAGGATGAGTGGGGGAGCGGAAGGAGAATGGGAGGAGGGGAGGAAGTGGAAATATTTGAATGGAAAAATAAATAAAGAAAAAAAAAAGAAAAAAGAAAGACTACAAATGTAAATTTTATTTGTACAGAGCATGATCAGTTAGTTTCTCAATGGAAGTAAGTATATTGTTTAGTATATTAAGATTTAATGCAAATAGAAGTAACATGATTACATGCCTATGTAGTGTCTGGACTAAAATCCCTCTGACCTCTGTGGGTGCCAGGCATGCATGTGGTACACAAACATGCGTTGGAGTGAAGCACTCATGCACATAAAAATAGAAGTAAATGGAAATGTAAGATATAATGCAACAGTAAGTACTACAGCAAAGACACAGGAAAGTCCTAAGAGTGCAGGGAGGAAAGTGGGAGGAACTCTGGTGACAGGATCGTCACAAAAGACGTTTGTGTATTCTGGACTAGCAGGCTTCCATCACAGAGAAGCTTGAGAATGTCTCTGGTGACAGCTTTGCGTCCTATTCTAGAATGAATGTTCTGTTATCTGTTACTGCCGTAGAGTCTTTCTAGCGGCCTCAGGGCAGGTTTTAGATATTTACATACAGAAATCCTGGGGCAGGTTTAGCACCTCTAATATGGAAATCTGAAAACCAAAATGTTCCAAAATCTGAACATTTCTGAGCGCCTGTATGGTAGGGAAATTCCACAGTTAAAAAGCAGGTACACTAAAAATATTATATAGAATTACCGCTAGTCTCTGGAGTTAATGCAAAATAGGAGGGAGTTTTATATATTGGCTTGAGACCCATCCCCAAGATATCTCTATTTGCCTAGACAATCAAAATCTGGAGGAATTCGAACCACAAAGGATCACTCCGTCCTCTAGTATTTAGCACAGTGCCTACAAATAGGGAACAGGTACGCGATATGGGAATGGATTCTTACTATATATACAGAAATGCAAAATCTAGAAAAACATCGGAAATGGGAAGTTTTTGGGTCTCAGCCATTTCAGATAAAAGATACCCAACCTAAACTATACCCATTTAACCTATTCTCATCTATTTTTGGGGCCAAAGGACACCCACCTTATTAGTTCATTTGAGTTAGGTAAGGGGCATTAAAAAGAAAGACCAAAAAATTTGGACAAGCCAAAGACTAGCCTTGCACCAAAGAAGTCTGCTGCCTTGGGCCTGGGACCCAATCTTTGGAACCCCAGCAGCCATTCTTGAATGAAAGATAAGTTTCCATGAGCATAGGCAGCTTTAGTCTATGTTTGTTCCTTGAGAAAGGATGGCGAGGTTGTCAGAATGTTCTGATTTATGGGAAAACAACTGTCCCAAGCATATTTCCTTGTGTGGGTCTGCATAGTTATGATGAAGGATGTGCGTTTGGACGAGCCAGATGAATACCTAGAGGACGGAAGGGCACGTAGCAAAGATGAACATTCATGCTGCACAGTGATGCTCTTCCGCACTCCCCCAGAGCAGTTTCCAGAGCAGGAGATGGCCGGCTGGAAACCCCAGAAAGCTGCGTTCTCGGGCTTCCCCACATTGATGATTTCATAAGGATGGCTTCACAGGCAATGAGACTGGTTGAAGACTGGTGTGCTTCAAAGCTGTGGTTTCTCTCAATGAAAGAAATAAAGGGGACAAAAGCTGAAGACATGATTTGATTTAGATGCCAACATTTCATTTTCTCCAGGATGAGTGACAGAGGGAGGAGGCAGGAGGCATTGGGAAGGAAACAACACTCTGATGCAATGTTAAACAGGCAGGAGACAAATGAGATGGACAGCAAAGTCACAGGAGTGCCTCTGCATTTTGTAAATGTTTTGTGGATCTAGACCTTTAATTTTCCATTGTAAGAAGAGCATTGAGAAACAGACACAAGATTTTAGCATTTTTATTAGGACACAATTATTGGTTCATGAAGGGCTGGAGGGAAACTGCAAGAACTCCAGATTGTTCTGTCAGAATTTCAGAATAATACAATGATAGATGAAACGTAAAGTCAACATAAACAAGGTGATACGGTGGAAGCCAAGGATCTCAATAACCATGTTCATGCATTGTGACAGCTTATAAATTAAAAATCTAGCAAATCCTAGGAAACAAACCCAGCCGCCACTAGGACTAATGTAATAGAGGTGACTCCTCTATAAAAGGGGGAGCTTGGGCCATGTGCTATATTGACAATGAAAAGGAAAGACATTTTGAAAATCGTATTTCATGATTACTTGGAGTGTCCATATGTCACATAATTTAAAAGTTGTTACAGACTGTACAGATTTTTTTTTCTTATTAAATTCACATGTTGAAATCCTGCTGCCCAGTGTAGTGGCCTTAGAGGGATCCTCTGGAAGGCAATCAGGTCACACTGGATAGGGCCCTAATGGATGGGATTAGTCTCCTCATATAGGAGACTCCCACAGGCCCCCTCACTGCAGTAGGAGGACAAAGCAAGATGGCTGTCTGTGAATCAGGGATTGCTGCCTCATTGAGCACTGAGTCTGTTGGCCTTTGTCTTGTATTCTCTGGCCTCCATAGCTGTGAGAAATTACTCCACCCCTGTAAAAGCTAGTTAGACATTAGCCCACCCCTGTAAAGTCTATGGTGTTTTTCTGTATCAGCTTGAATGAGCTAAAACAAAACAAAGGCGAGAGGCAGAAGTGACTATCAAATATTACTGCACTAGGCAAGTGTGCACCTGAAAGATACATTGGCTATACATGTCTATGGAAAAACTACCGACCTCCAAATCTTTGTATAAGTCCCCATTGTGAAATATTATTTAAAAGCACCAAGGCAGAAGAACGTATATGCTGAATCAACTGGGAGTGGTGGTGCACAAGAATAAAGTGAAGTAGAACTGAGTTCAAATTCAAAGAAGCAAAAGTGTCTCGAGTGATGAACCCCTTCAAGGGTTTTCAGAAGCCAGAGGACAGGTCTAAACTTCAAAAGTGAACGCTGCGGCATTTCGATGTAGCCACACAAACCTGGAGAAACAAACTTCCCAGTCTCTGTTTTGTCCTCTGCACATGGGTGAACGGAAGGTTGCAGAGTTGCCTTCCAGGCACAAATTATTATTTTTCGTTTGAGAGCAATACAGCAATAAGTGAAGATGAAGAAACATCTTTTCCCATCGTCCTCAATGCTAGATAATCGTGTTTTGTGGCCTACGCATTATCCTATGCCGCCTCTCACTCCACTGCATTGCTGTTTTCAGGAGAGGACAGTCCTAGACTGCCGATCCTGCAAAGGTGCTGTGAACATCGGGCCTCTGTTCAGGCCATCAATTTCTGTCTTTTATTTCTTTCAGTGTACAGGGGAAGATTATAGACCTGGTAATTAGCCAAGCCTGAGTTTGAAATACAGTAATTACTAAACCAGTGAATTGCAAAAGTAACTCTTTCCTCATCTGCCAAAATAGGGCTATTTCCTTGAAAAATGAGAGTATTATTCAGCATCCAGATCAATATATTTGAGTTTTTTTTCCTTCTTTCTGTTTTATAAGCCATTGGGGCCTAACTAGAAAAGAAAATATATTTGAATATTTCTGGAGCCCAAAGCTATAGAAATCACTGTGGCTTCCCATAAAACTTTCAAACAAATGGGATGAAGTAAAGTCTCAAATAAATAGTAAAACGCAGCCACCCTGCCAGGGTGTGAATTCTGGAGGGGGTTTTAGGCAAGAGATAGTAAACAAACATTCACCTCCAGGATTACCTCTGCAGAACATTATAACCTGTCATTCTCTGCATGTGTGTGCAAGGCTTCCTGAACGTTAAGAGAAATTGAAACCACTTCTCGGTGTTGTGAATTTGGAAGCCTTAATATGAAGGCGGCCAGGGTCTCCTTTCAAGCCAAGAGGCCTGTCTCTAGCCCTCAAGAAGGTTAGTCAGTGTTGAAGCCCCCAGAAGCCGGTGCCCAGTGCCAGCCTAGCTTCTTCCACCTCCTTTTTTTCTTTTTTCCTTTTTATCGGTGCTCCTGCACCCACCCCATCTGTCTGCTTCTTCTTTTCCATCTTCGCTTTCTCTCATAAGTGGTCAAAATGAGAAACAGAAGTATCTGTTTGTTGCTTGGTGCTCAAAAAAGGCTTTTTTTTTAAAAAAAAATTATTTGCTTATTTATTTTTTAAAAACAAAAATCTCCAACAAGGTTCTTCACCGGTTCATGCGCTGACCCCCCCAAATCTTCTTGAAAAGCAAACCTCCCCCACTGGCTTGTCATTTGCTACAGTGCTGGAGGAGGAGGGGGGGTGGTCTGCGGCAGGGCGAGCCGGGGCTGGGTATTGGCATCGTGTGGCGCGGCGGGGCTGCCTAGCAGGGAA